CGTTGACTACAACTTAGATGGTTCTTGTTCTGTTTGAATAGCATTTTCAAAATCATTCCTTTAAATGGTATTATATAGATATTGAAATTATGATACACTCCTTCTGCTAGTAGAAATCTAATGTTTTTCTATAAAATTTGAAACAGACTTAAAATTATCCCTTTTCCCTTTGCATTTGCCTTAAAATGTGATCATAGATGATATGACAAAATTTAAAATGTCATTTTATATATTGGAAGAATAAAATTGTACAAATTTTTATATCAAGCTCCCCTTTCTTCAGTTTTACATATTCGGTGCTGCTCATAGACTGTTTTCGTCCTGAGCTTTGATTCTTTCTTTCAAATGTCCACACCATGGGGGTGAGAGTTGTCTGCTTTTCCTTCCCAGGTCCTGCCCATCTCTGAGATCCAGGAAGCCAGGGTATCGTCTTTCATTTTCTTTTCCCACTTTGTGCTGGTTGTCTTTTTCACAGTGATAACCCTTCTCTTAGCTACTGAGCAGTTCCAGTGCCATTAGAGGCCAGAAGAACTCTGCACGTAACTCCAAATAATAGATTTCCAATACCACACTCTGTGTAGTCTGTATACTCTTTCCCTTCACGGTAGTTCTTTGAGTTTTTTCCCTGCCTCTTCTGTTTGAGTTTTTTATGTCACTTCTATAGGGATATTGTTCACCTCCAGATGATACCTAAAAAATTGGGTAGAAATCATCATGTAAATAACACACTCTGTCTATAAAATATGGGTATATTCTATAATTTACCATAATCTAGATCAGTGATTGAAATTTTCCTAAATTTAGCACCTAATTATGCATTACTTCAGTTACAAAATTATTAAACAATAGATTTAGAAGACACCAATTAGAAACTCCAACAGCATGCTTTAGACCTGTAAAAGTTCAAACAAGAAGTTATTTGCAATTAATGCCTGCTGGAGAGGGGGACTTCGCTTTTTTGAGTGGAGTGATTGTGGGTATATTAACCACACTCCTACACCGTCTGATGCCTAACAATAGTTGTCCAAATTTTTAAAAATGTTTCACAATATAATTATTGGGAAACATATTTAAATATATAATTGAAAATGGTATCTTTATAATCAGGAGCTGTATTCATTCACAGAGTATTCAGAGTAATTTCCTAGTTTAGGTTTTGTGACATACACCTTTCATCCTAACCCTCAATAGGCAGAGATAGGTGGATCTCTTGAGTTTAATGCCAGCCTGGTCTACATAGGGAATTCCAGACTAGCCAGTGCTATGCAGTAAGATGCTCTGTCAAAACAAAGCAAAAATGATTTCCATTTCAGAAACAAAAATCAAAGCAAACCATCGCAATAAGCTATCTATAGAGCTAAGCCTTATTAAAGGGAAGTCATCAGTTACTGTTGAAAAAAAAAACAACAAAACAAAAAAACCCTTGTCTGTTGGTTTCCTTTAGAGTTTCTTGAGTATCAGTTGCTACAAGCTGGGCCAGTTGTATTGACAGTAGTCTCTTTGAGGAGTAACTGGGTAAATTCAAGTACTTATCAAAACTACAAATTAATCCCAAGGCAGCCACTGCTAATCAGGGTTTTAGTGCTGACTGTTTTCAGAGATCTGGTGCCTGCAATGGTAGAGAGCTTGCCACTTGGTGGCACTAATGCTTGTTTTCAGAGGAGTACTTAGGGTCTAGGTCTCTACCCCCAAGGCTTAGGGAACATGACAGAAAAGAGAACCTAAAGATTCTGAGAACCTGAAGATGTCTGTTGAAAGATTGTGTTTTCTATATATACAACAGGCACGCTTCACCCTTGAACTTTCACACATGAACAGTGACAACACTAGTTGATTTGCCAGGCTGAATGGAGTCTGTCACACAAAGCTCCACTCCTAGGTGAAGAGCTATAGGCAATTAATGACTGCTGAGGGAGGTGGGGAGGGAAGGAGGGAGGGAGGGAGGGAGGGAGGGAGGGAGGGAGGGAGGGAGGGAGGGAGGGAGGGAGGGAGGGAGAGAGTATGTCTTGCCTAAAGATGAGGCTGCCAAAATGTTCATCCAGTACCACGTGGTCAGCCTTAAACATGCCTGTGAGCAAAACTAACCACACGTACTTAGTAAGTTTTATTTCTGTGTTAGTTTGTATGTATATAAAACAGTAATAATAGTAATGAAAAATAAACCCATGAATTTCAGAGGGAGTTGAGGATATGTGGGAAAGATTGGAGGGAAGAGAGGGAGTAGGGAAATCTGTAAATGCATTACTCATATGTGAAATCTTTAAAGAGTAAAGAATTGTTAAATGTGTAAATGTACAGGTCACTCTTCATTGTGGTCGTCACACATCTTCTCAGGCAGTGTTGACAACCTGTCTTTGGCCCTTATGCCCCATAGTAACTCACACCTGAGGAGAACGCGTGAGATGCCATTTCTGTCCTGCTTAATTGACAGAGATCACTTCCCTTGTGCTGTCAGGATCATCCTTCTAGAGTTTGCTTGCTCTGGACAGGCTCTTTCCTAAGCCATTTTGATTTGTTTTTTCTCTTGTGAGTAGTCTAACTTTTCTAAATATTTGTTTTCCTATTTGAAAAGAGGAATTAAAAAGCCGGCTTTGGGTTAAAAGTTCTTTTAGGTGGTGGTGGCGCACGCCTTTAATCCCTGCACTCGGAAGGCAGAGGCAGGTGGATCTCTGTGAGTTTGAAGCCAGCCTGGTCTACAGAGAAAGTTCCAGGAGGGCAGAGTGAGCTACGTAGAGAAACTCCTTCTGGAAAAACAAAAACAAATAGACAAAAAAAAACGTTTTGTTTTGTTTCCCTACAATATTACAGTGAACTTTTTATCAAGTGGTGGCATAGTTGACAGGTTTTTGCAGTTCAGATCTTCCCACTACCCTCTATATCTGTTATACAGTATAAGACAAAATTTGTTGACTACTCTTCCTTTATTATTGCTAAATAAATTGGAAAACTCTACCACCAACTCCTAAGTTTTTCATATTATTTTCCCCCATGTTTAGGATCAGTTAGTCTATCATTCATATTTATGCTCATTAAAACAAAAATTCATCTTGGTTCAGCTCCTCTAGACCATCTTGCCCTTAGTAGTCTCTTTAACTTCAGATGGATCATTCCTTATATGTGAAACTTCAGTAGCTGTGATTTTAATTATTTTATAATATAATATTTAATTATAATAAAAACATTCTTCTAGCAAAGAGTTTTGTTAATCTTATCATCATTTCCTTAAAAATTTGTCCACTCCCCTAACTTCACACCCCATTGTGTCTCTAACCCTCTAATGTGTTTATCACATCTTTGAATATTATTAAGAACTTCATAAAAACACAATATGGGTATATGTGGAACTCATTGGAACTGAAAAATACTTTAACCTACTGATTCCATTGAATGTTGCACATAGGTGTAGGGGCCTACATCCATCCACTGGGACATGGATAATCTACCAGTGGTCTTGAATTAGTCAAGGTTCTCTAAAGTAACAGAATTTACAAAATCTCTCTCTCTCTCTCTCTCTCTCTCTCTCTCTCTCTCTCGTGTGTGTGTGTGTGTGTGTGTGTGTGTGTGTGTGTGTACGCACATATTTTCCCATTTCAAAGGGTAGGGATTAAAGGTGTGTGAATTTTTGCTTTAAAACTCCCCATTTTTGAGTTTTGGTTAATTCTAGATATAGTCAAATTGACGACCAAGAATAGCCATCATACTTCTTCCCAAGCAGCCATCAACTGCCCAAGCTGCTCAGCTAGGTTTGGATGCCTCTCAGGAGCCAGCCCCTCCTCAGCCCTTGTTGGAATTTTAAACTGAGTTGATCCTTGCAGACCTTGCTGCTGTGAATTCATGTGGTCAGCAGCCATCATGGCACTTTTAAAGTAAGTTTTCTCTGCACTGAGGACTGAAATGCCTATGCCATGGAAATACCCAGTGAGCTATATCTGCAGTCCTTTAACAGTTTCTCAGGACATTATTATTGTGTCTACTCTCAGCACACGTGGAATCTGGCCAGTGATGGCCTTGTGTTTCTGAGGTTTCAGGAAATTTCTTCCTAAGGACATTTTCTTCAGATATTTTATCTGAGATTTTGGCTTTGATCTGAATTTTACAACTTAAGTCAATTTTGTTGTAGTATTGTGGAATTTAAGGGTAATTTCATGAAGCTGGTCTCAGCTGTTGACAAAAGACTCTTACCGTTTAGTTTGGTGCAAGATGCTGGAAATGTGGCTCTAATGCCTTTAGTCAACCTCAGGTGATGGTTTGGGACAATTAATTTCCAATTGTTTCCCAGTGGAGCAGATTTACTTGTATATTAATGAGGCACAGGTGTGGGCCCCTGGTGCCTGCATGCCTGTGAGGCGCGTTTCAGTTTATCTCCTCAGCCACAGTTACTGCGGGTAGTCAAGCTTGCCTTTAACAGTTTTTACACCGAAGCTTTTACAGTTCTTGATGCTTTCTTGAAATTTCTCTGCACCTGTTAACATTTTCCCACTGATCATGTAGGAAGAAGCTGTGGAGATTTCAACCGGAAGCATGCACTGTTTAAAAAGGTGGTATTCTATGACATTTAACTGTCCAGCTTAGCAGGAAACAAAACAGGGTTATTCGACGGGGTATTTTCCGTGAGAAGTCTTTATAACCAACAGGCCACTTCTTTCTCATGTAATTTTTGGAAACAGGTGTACTTTTTTTAATAGATAAATAAGTCACATTTTATAAGCCTCATTTTTCTTATGTATTCATACATACCACTGTTTTCGAGGAAATGGAATAGCCTCCATAGACATTAAATGTAAGAAGCTAGGGTAATTATAGCGATCTACATATTCATTAAATCTACAGAAGAACTGTGTCCAAGAAGACAGCCATTCGTTCAGACACAGAACACCACTAAATGCATGCATTTTAAAAGTTAAATTTCTTAGGCTATTTAAGGTTAGTTTCCTGTAGCACTCCTTTTAGTAAAAGGGTTTTAACAAAAGGAAACCACTGATCTGGTTTCTTTCCTACAGGAAAGAATGGGAAGATCTATTTGTAAACAACAATTACTTGGCAACAATAAGACAGAAGGGGATTAATGGGCAGCTGAGAAGCAGCAGGTTCCGCAGCATCTGCTGGAAGGTAAGAAGGAAATAGTTATTTACTGTTTGTGGTGCAGTGTGTCAGCACTTTACCTGACATTCCAGAAGATGACCCTCACATGGGTCACTGGATTTCAGGAAAGCCATTCATGTTTACCTTTCATAGGACATTTACCCATAAGGTTGAGGCACCTGGGCAAGTGAAGCTAGTAAATGAATCCTTTGAAGTAACTCTTGATTTCCCTTAGTAGTGAAAATTTCAGAGCAGCACTATTAAACTTCCTGGAGGGGCCTTTTCAGATTTTCTTGAAGTTGGGCAGAAGTTTAGTGGTAAGTTGAAGATCCTGTTAATTGAGCTGCTATCATTTAGTCATCCTCCTTTTGTCTTGCTAAAGAGCACATGGAAAAAACTTAACATTCTTTTGTTAGAAATGTAAAATGGAGGGCAACCAGGAGAGTGGAAGGAAATTGGGTCATTTTCCTTTGGAGAGAAGGGTCACTGGTTACCAAAAGTGGGAATGATAATCTGCTGTCATCATTTTAATTGCTTTGAAAAATTGGCCCTTCCTGGTCTCTAAAATGAATGAATTTGGGTGTAGACTTATTTTTTAAATGACCTCTATCAACATTTTTAAGGCTATGTGCATAAATTGAGCATGTAAAGTCTGTGCAAATCAAACAATACATGATGTATTATATAATTCTAGATTTAATAATTTAGATTTAATAATGAAAATACATTTTTCTTTCTTAAGAAGCAGACAGAAGACCTGCTGTTAGAAAATTTGTATTCAAATATTTGTACCCCACCCTCACTCCCTGTTGTTTAACTTTAAGTATATTTCATTTACTAAAAATAAACCTAAGTCTGTATTCATTTTATTAATATATTAAGCTAAATTAAATCAGATTTGTCATTTTAAAATGCTTATTGTGAAAACCTGATTGCCAATTGCAAATTGCATTCTCTGCTGTTTATGATGCAGCCTCATTTCTGTACCCTCAGCCCCAGCCCTCAGGTCACTGACTGGATGCAAACCTAGGTATTGTTGACCAGGTGTCGCCTGCAATACTTTCCTACCATTCCCAACACAATTAGATTTGAACCTCCATGTGTTTGCCTCCCTTTGCCAAATAAATCTTGAAGAAAGCTAAATCTATTTTGTGGTTTAACTTTTTAATTCTTGCATTTAAGCATTGATTGCTTAGTTTTTTGCTATTCTAAACATATTTTTAATGTGAACATACTATTGGGAATTGAAATGATTATATTGAATGGGACATGTTATGAATGTGGTGTTTCTTTAAATTTTCAAAAGATCTTATTTAGCCTGATATTCATACTTAGTAGTTTTTTTTAACAATGTTTTCTTTTTTTCTCCTCCCTCCCCCAATAGCTCTTTCTTTGTGTTCTTCCACAAGATAAAAGTCAATGGATAAGTAGAATCAAAGAACTAAGAGCATGGTATACCAGTATAAAAGAAATAGTAAGTAAAGAGTAAATGTGACTGATGCAGTTACTTTCATTTGCTTACTTTAAAGTTCATTAGTCTCTAATCTTGCTATATCTCTCCCTTTAACAGCATATCACTAATCCAAGGAAAGTTGTTGGCCAACAGGACCTGATGATCAACAATCCCCTTTCACAAGATGAAGGAGTAATGTTCCTTTTTAATATGTTTGTTTGTTTGTTTTAAAATTATTTCATTATTTTATCTGTATGGGTGTCTTGCCTTGCATATATGTCTGTGTACCCTGTGTGTGCCTGGTAACTTTGGAAGCCAGAGGAGCATGGTAGATTCCCTGAAACTTGTGTTATTGGTGGTTATAAACCACCATATGGGTGCTGGCAACCAAACCATGTCGTCTGCAAGAGCAGCCAGGGCTCCTAACTACCAAGTCATCTCTCAAACCCTTGTTCCAACTCTTTCCATTCTGAAAGAGGTGCTTTAAAGATTCATGTCATCTGTGTAGGATTTATATGAAAATCCCTATGCAAACAATGTGTTTCATGCCCTGTGTTTTCATTATTCTAAATACTGAACTACCTAAATCTGTATGTGTGTGTGTGTGTTTGTGTGTGTAGTGTGTGTGTATGCACACCTGTAGAGGTCAAAGGTGGGCATGGTTTCCTGCTCTGTCATTCTTTGCCTTGTTCCTTTGAGACTAGGTCTCTCCCTAAAGCTCAAGCTTGCTGTCTGCTAGACTAGCTGAGTAGCATCCTCCCTGTGTCTGCTCCCCACTGCTGGAGTTACAGCCACAAAAGGCTCAGCTTTGTATGAGGACTCACACTCAGGCCTCAAGCTTGCATCTTCCCCTCTGAGGGATCTGCTCAGCTCCTGTCGGCCATCTCTGGAAGGTCCTCCTGCCTCCCAGTGGTGTTAAGCCACCAAACCTTCAACACAGCAGCCTTTGGGAGCTGTCGGGATCTACACCACAGCAATTTCTCCTGAGTTATCCACTGCACTATAAATTATTTCTTTTTAAATGTGGGAATGCTCTATTTCTGAAAAATGAATGGTAATTTCAGGTTGGCTGTTGTCTTCCAAAATATTGTTATTATAAATGTATATAGTTAATTTGACTTTAAACATATTGACATTAATACGAGCTGTGTTTCAACATAAAAACTAGCTACCTGTTTTCTTGGACTCGGTTTTCCTTCATGGAAAATTGGCCAGAATTTAGTTAATTTAATTGAAAACATTAATCCACTAGAACATAGGGAAATAAATGGATTGTCTATTTGTCCCTGGCTAACTTTCATCTAAATAATTAACTGTTAATTATAGGCTTGTGTTCACATTTTAGGAATTTTTCATGTCCAAAATTAAATTTTCAGGTACTCACCTCCAAGTGTGACCACCTGGGTTCAATCCCTGAGACATGTGAATGTGTGTGAGTGTGTGTGTATGTGTGTCTATGTTTGAGTGTGTGTGTGTGTGTGTGTGTGTGTGTGCGCGCGCACACGCGCATGAGCACGCACGCACAGGCATGCACATGAGCTTGTGTATTATAAGCCACACTAGGGGAAAGTCCAGAGGGTCTCATGATAAATATCTCTAAATTGAAAGAGCATCCCTATGAGGATGGTGGCATCAGGGTTGCAGTGGGGAGGGAAGTCACTAAGGAACACTTTTGGTAGGACTGTCCCTGGAAGAAAGCACCTACCCATAATGACTGTGGAGAAGCTTGTATCCTGGTGGAGTTTAGGTCAGTTATTACTTAACAGAGACTATATGACTTACTTTCTTGTTGCTGCTCTATGCCTATGTATGTAGTTGAGAAGGAAATTTTTCTCATTTTATAGATGCGTTAGTATTTTTCTGATGTGTAAATTTTGCTATAGTACAATAAGATATTAAGTAATTTTTAGGTGTTTGGTTTTGTTCCTTTGTTTTATTAAGAGAGGTTCCTACCACATGGCCTCGGGGAGACTGAAACTTGCTAGGGCTGGCCTCAAACTCACAGAGATCTGCCTGTCTCTGCCACCAGGTCTCTGCCATAGGTGTGTTGCACTTTAACCCATCATTACGTAGTTTCTAGAATTTTCCTGAGTTAACATTTTAAAACTGTAAATGCCTCTTAGAAATTAAAATAGCAGTGGAATGCCCTTCATCCTGCAGAGATGATGGAACTTCAAAAATGCATACAGCAAGGAATTGAAAAAAATTGTAAGGGTTTGAATTAGACTAGATTTTAATAAAAATTATTTCTGTCAGGTTTCTGAGTAATCCAAAGTGGCAGCTTAGAGAAGAATAAATTCAATCACTTAAATTATTAAATTGAAGTCATAAAGTCAAGCAGTGTGAGATTGTTTTAATTAGGTTATTCTCATTTTTTCCAGAGTCTTTGGAACAAGTTCTTTCAAGATAAAGAACTGCGATCCATGATTGAGCAAGATGTCAAAAGAACGTATGTAGAGCTGTGTTTTGTTCACTAATTCAAAACGGTGTTACTTCTGAAATCTGAATACAATGTGAGATCCCTAGAGGAGCCTTAAGTGATTGTAGTATTCTACTTTCAAATTTATTTTTTAATAAGCTTTAATTCTATAAATTTTTTCTCAAAGATTTCAAAATATTCAAATTAAATTGTACATCAGCCAAAGAATGTTAGCTTTATCAATTTCTGATCTTTCCATTATCCTGAAAGGGTTATATTGTGTGATTATTTATATTGGTAATACTTCACAGACAGCTTATTTCTGTGTATACATTTAAATTGGCTTCCAGCACAATTACTCAGTGTCCTCCTCCTTACTTTTTACTGTGGTTTTCCTTTTTGCTTTTTTCTGGGTGCTATTCAGGTATGTTGATCTATTGACAGTCACATGAAAAAGTCACCTCTTTTTTATAGTGAATGTTCTATCCCTGTTACAAATGAGACCTCGTCTTTCTCCATTGTCTATTATGAAATACTTGGGTTTGCCTCCGAGATCAGTGTAAGTTCTAGGTAATGCATGGTAGAACTATGGTCACATTACTCTCAATATCCTCTTTCTCAGTGGCCTTTTCTGTAAATGGAGATAATAGTAGTTACCTCCCAAAGTCCTTATGCACTTAAGGTTGGTTATCCCTTGCCAAAATTTCTTGGGATTAGAAGTGTCTGTCATATTTTGACTGTCTGTGTAGAATTTGTCAGTTAGTCTTCCTTAATCCAAAAATTCAGAATCCTACATGGTTCAGAATTCAAAACTTTTTGAATATTGATTCAGTGACCTCAAAATTTTGGATTTTGGATTTTGAATTTAGGGATGTTCAACCTGCATGCTAAGTAAAATAGTGATCTAGAAAGCTTTGTGGTTCAGCTGTTATACAATGTTAGTAAGGTTAATGTTTTTAGCTGCACTTACTATGAAGCCACAAGACAGTGTGTAAGAAATACTTAACCTGCAACATTTCCAGTGTGTTCCAGCTATAACAATGTCAGGCCTCTGGCTTTCTGACATTCCAGTCTTTCTTTTATGTACCAAAACACCGAAGCATCAGATGACTTGAACCACTACCTAATTACCTACACTGTTCAACAGATGGGATTTTCTGCTTAAAAATGGTAATAACTCAAAAGAATCAGGAGTTGAGGGATCAGCTAAACCGCAGCTAATGTGTGCAGTGGGATTCATTTTAATTATCTTGCCTCTCCCAGTTAGTTCAGGAGTCACCCATTTTGTAAAATAAGCTCTTCTCAGAGGGCAGTGCCTGGTCTCTTTAGTGCCAAATTCCAGAAACTAAAGCACGTTTGTTTCACCACACATGAGGCTCATAGAAAATACTGATTCCTTTTTGAGATGAGGGGATATCCTCATTGACCATTTAAGAACTGTGTTAATCAATGCCTGAAAAAACAGACCTCGTCCTAAAAACACATAGAAAATCACACATTACTAGCCAAATAGTAGCAGTAGTTATTTTTAAAGTGTCAAAACTATTACATCTCAGATGAAGAATTTTAATTCATCTTTCTAAATCTTAAATGGAAGTAGAGAGGTGATGGCACTGGCCTAGAACCACACACGCAGAAACCAGAAAATACAAAGTGAGAAAGGGCTGCAGATTGTTCTAAGCCACCCAAGCGAGGCCTTACCAAACATTTCGCTTACTTAGCTCAGATGTTTTCCCTGACTGGGTAAGACACCATTAGATATGGAAAACTGGTCTTTATCTTTGTTTGTTTTGTTTTAACTGTTCGGTTTTTTTTTTCCCAGAAAAATATAAGATATGTGAATCAATACATATAGTTAATTTTTTTCCTGTTTTTCTTTCTTTTTTTCCTTCTAGTATATTTGAAGGTGTGTACGGGATTCAGGACATATATGTGATAGAGCCTGTAGTTCATAGTGTAGCTGGGAGTCAGTGTGACCAGTGTCACACTCCTTTAACCCTGGCGCTGCAGAGAGTAGGACAGGGAGACTTCTGGGAAATCCATTGCAACCTGGTTTATGTAGGAAGATTCTATCACAAAACAAAACAAAAACTAAAAAACAAGAAAAATTGAAGAGGACAGGGTAACTAGTATTACTTTACAGTCACCAAATTTCAAAATCATCAAAGTCTAATAGCTTGAATATTATTACCACTTTCCATCTGGCGGTGGTAGTGGGTGGTTGGTTTTGAAACAGGGTCACATTTATTCCTAGTTGTCCTTGAATTCCCTACATAGCCAGGGATGACCTTGAGCTCGTGATCTTGCCTTTACCTCCCAAGTGCTAAGATTAAAGGCATGAACCACCATCCCCAGCTCCTAGTGATCTGAAATCCATCATTTTCACTTGGATCTATAAAACTACCAGTAATACAATAGAGAAAAAAGTGTTGGTGGAGGGACAAGGGAGGAGGGATGGGAGAGGGAGCTGGGATTGACATATGAAGCATGCATGTTTCTAATTTAAATAAAAACATATATTGAGGAAAAAAATACAGAAAAGTTAATACTGAAGAATTTGGACTTTTTAAAACACACATTGTGTCCTGTGTTACAGGACATTGGTAAGTGAGAGGTCTCTGATCACTGGGTGGATTTTTCCTGCACTTACAAAAGGGGAGCTAACAGCTCTGGAGTAGTGAAGTGGAATAGTGCATATATACTGAGAGAATAGCAAATAGTTATATTTGCCTTAGGAACCGTGATTAGAGAAGGAATCTCCGAGAAGAAGACCATCCTTTTACAGATCTAGCAGAGGAGTATTTCAGGCGATGGGAACACCTGTTCAAAAACTCCCCCTAAAAATGAGTGTTGACAGGAAGAAAATAAAATGAGGTGTGACTAGAACTAAGTCATTTAAAGAAAAGAGTCTAAAAAGATGGGATTCCGTTCACAAACCATGCTTAGAACATCGTGAGGAGTCTGGATTTGTTTACGTTTGTACTGGGCAGCTGTTGGAAGATAACTGTCTTTAGAGGTAAAGGGTTCCAGTCACTTACACTGAAGATGACGTACTAAAGATGTAGTGAATAGACTCATGACACACCTTTCATATTTCTAAATGCAAATCCGGTTACTCTGTTCTGTTGAATTATTACTGTTCTGCTTGGAGTTCTCAACTTCCTGTCTATGAGGTGTTGTTTGTTGTTTTCATTGGATCTATTTGTTATCTTTTCTCCTCCAGTCCATTCCATGTGCTCAGTCAAGTCACTCTTCTCAAAGCAAATGTATAATCCTATGGCTTTATCGTAAAAAGCCTGTGACTGTCTGTGGCCACAGAAAAGTGGACTTGCCCTCTTTCTATAACACACATCTAATTCCCATTCACAGTGTTACTTTCTGTCATTATTTCACGAACACATTTTGCCTAGCATTCTCCAGCTTGTTGAGGGTCCCTGCCACTCACCATATCCATGACACATTTTATGGTCTTTCCATTTGGGTTTGGGGTTATGTTTTTTTTTTAATGCCTATTTTTCATTCTGTTGAATTTTCCTATAACTTTTATATGATATTTAACTTCGGTCTTACATTTATTTAAGTCTGTCTCATATCCACTCATGACATTTCTATTAATCTCAAGGGATGCCAAAATAAGTATGACATGTACCCAGTAAGAAGTTCAAGGCTAATAGGAAAAGCAGAAAAAGAATTACAATGAGACCAGTTGGTGCCATAGGAGAAGCAGTGTGTCCAAAATCTCTGGGGTTAGTCTGTGTCCAAGTCTCATCTGATGGGTAGACCCTGAGGAAGCAAAGAAATGAGTCCCACTTTTGGTTTTGTTGTTGTTGTTTGTTTTGTGTTTTTTTTTTTTCACGTAGACAGTCTTTGTTTGTTTGTTTGCTTTTGGTCTCAAGACACATTGCCAAATTGATGCACAATAAAAGACTAATAATTGTGCTAGTCAATGGCAATAAGTGTTGCTTCTCTTTCACTGTACTTCTCAATATTTTTTCAATCTTACCAAACATTTGCATGTTTAAAAAATATGCTAGGATCAACCTTCTAGCCTGAGTTTAAATAAGAAAAATTGATGTTGAATTTTTTTGACCTGAAGATTCATTGTGTTAAATATTTTGCTCTTAAATTATTTTAATATTCATTTTAAGCCACTACTCAAGTTTTAGTTTTAAGAGGTTTATATTCATTTCAAATTAATTGTTCCTTATCTCAGGCTAATGAAGTTGTAAATATCCCTATTTTTATTACAGAAACCAAATCAAGATACAAGGTAAATCAATGTCCAGTCTCTAGAATTTCTAATTTAGAGTTTGGATTGTTGTGAAAAAAGTTTTGCCACATTTTAATTATAAAAAGTCCCAATGTTGGCAATTTTAAAATTTAACATTATATAACATAAGTGGATTTAGGATGTAATAGCATTTTTCATACTAGATGCCAAAGAAGTATGTTATTTGGTCTATCAAGGTCTGTTCTAAAAATACACAACATCTATAATATCATTTGCAGATTAACATACTATGAGCTTTGCCAAATAGTCCCATCTTTTCTTTAGATACATTCCATCTCCTGCATTGGATGATGAAAGTTCTTTGAGTTATAATATTTTCCTTTTAACTTCAGCTTGCCTGTGTGATTTGCTGGTCATTATCTTTAACTTTTGATCTTTTTTATCCTTACTAGCTGTTACTAATTCAGATAGTTCTGTTTCCTATGTGAGTCTGCATGATGCAGTTAGTCATTTTCACCTTTTTTGAAAGATGGAAGATTTTTATTTTAGAGCTGCTTTTATTTATAATTTATGTATAGGCCAAACAGACTTTGTATCCTCACTTTAAAAAAATCATTTACCATTTTGAGTACATATTAATAATTTCAAAATTCTCTTTTAAACTGTAAATATGTACTAGTCACTTTGTTAGAAACTATGCATCAGTGACTAAGGTAATTGTGAATAAAATTTTAAAATTAAGTCTCACTCAAAGCATAGGACAGACCTATGTAGACTGTTTCTAACTTTGTAGAAGGTT